ATCATCCGTGTGGCTATACTTTGCGGTTTGCGGTAACCGCAAGTTTTGAAAATCAAATACCGCAACCGCAACCGCAAATGCGGTTCGGTTCTTAATACCGCAAATGCGGTTCGGTTTATCGCGATTGCGGTTTCATTGCGGTAAATTGTCGGTTGGTTTTTGCGGTTTTTCGGTTTTTCGGTTTAAAATGTCACCCCTAGTTTATATGGCTGTGCTTCTATGCTCTATTTTATGATCTTTTTTATTGCAACAAGCGCAAAGGCCAACCACATTCATCCAAGGCCATCAAGAGACATGCATCAACTGCAAGCTAACCAAAGATTCATTAATCCAGCCTCATACCACATAGCCCAAAAGGACAAAACCCATTTTGGAGATGCTTAATTTAATCCTCTAATTAAAAAATACAAGCTAGAAGACAAATTAACAACAACAACAAACAATTTAGTCAAAGATTACAACAGCCAGCTACTACTACTACTACTACTACCACACATACTGAACAAGATGCCATCAAACCAGATACTGGGAGCCTCTTGCTCCATACAAGTGGCTTCATCTGCCAAACACAACCACCAAGATATAAAAACCAACCTTTCCTATGCTCGCTCATTCTCTCTCTCTCTGTTTCCTGCCCCCACCACACTTCATAATTGCAGGCTTCCAGTACATCTTGGAAAAATACCATGCACAAAGGCTTTTTTCCATTGAAATTGCTCACCCCATATGCAGTCTCAGTTAAAAATTCTTCTCTAACACATGTGACACACCCACCATGCATGTTCTCTCTCTGCCCAACCCACAACCCCAAAAAGTTTACTTTTGTACCAAAATATACCAATACCAGAATATATACACATACAGCAAAATATACCAAATCCAAAATATATGCATTAATAAGCTCCTTTGAACTTTTAAGGACACAAAGACTCTTTACATGGTATATGCATTAATAAGCTGGTTTGAACTTTGAAGGACACAAAGTGTTCCACAAAAAAGGACACAGAGACTCTTTACATGGTATATGCATTAATAAGCTGGTTTGAACTTTGAAGGACACAAGGTGTTCCGCAAAAAATGAAATTGTCTGACCGAAAATTATGAAATCATTTGAAAAGGCAGAGGATGTGCTTTGTTGACTGGCAGTTTCATGTTCCAAGATGCACTATTGACAAATGTCATCCCTTTAGCTTGTATCCTGCATTGTCACATGAAAATGTGGGTTATGCAGCTGCTTGTTATTTTTTATATTGAAAAGATAAATAGCTTAAATACAAATCCAATGAAAAACAGAATAAAAGCTCCCCCAACTAACCTGAACCGTGAACTCATTTCATCAGACACCAAGAGAACTCTCGAGGAGCATCTTCAATCCTTTGGCAGCAACTTGTACACCTAAAAAATCCACAAAAGTTCATTTATTGCCAAGATTCATTAGAAATAAAAACCTACACAAAATAAAACATCCTTACTTATATCATCATTTTTGGTAGATCGCATGTCCTTGTTGTCAGTGCTAGTGGGAGGAGTGTCGGGCTTAGCGGGGGAGTTATCTGTGTGGTCACTGCCACGAGTATCAGAAGGGCCAGGCCATATTCTGGAAGCACCCTTGGAAATCCATATCATCAGCAAAACATTAAACAGGATCCCGCAAAATCTTCCACAAGCCGTCAACCTTTCTAAGCACCAAGTTTTAGCCATATTTAAACCTTTAGAGGCAGGCTTGACCAAATAGGCGGGTGGAACAGGTAAGTTGATGCGCTCTTCTAACGGTGTAGAGACGTATTTCACCAAATAGTCCACCACATTCCAGTCACCAGCTGATTTTGGCTCCTTTAATTCTTGGATGAGTTTGACCTCATTCTCTTTCAGTTGACGCACGAGTAAAGTCCTAAAACGTTTCCACAGTTCCCTCTTAAATGCAGTTGTACAACTTTTAATTCCTCTGACCTTCTCCATTTCATGCCCAGACAGTCTGATATGCTGTTCCTCTAATTTGAGGGACTCCTGAGAATTGTAATGTCTTTTGATGACATTGTACAAACAGTTCAATTCTGCTGTTGATGAGGCCATAGCAACTCTCTGGCTAATTTTGGAACCTACCTTGGGTAAGAAAATGAAAAATTACTAGGAATGATGGAAAAATCTAATGATTCTTGACAGAACTCTGGGTTTCTCAAGGACCCACATCAATAGGGTTCTTTCAAGAATCATTAGGGATTTGGGGTTTTGAAGCTGGAAATGGAAATCTGGAACAAAACCTAAGAAATGGAAAAATGAAAAATGACTAGAATGATGGAAAAATCTAATGATTCTTGAAAGAACTCTGGGTTTCTCAAGAACCCACATCAATGGAGTTCTTTCAAGAATCATGAATCAAACCTAGGGATTTGGGGTTTTGAAGCTGGAGATGGAAACCTGGAACAAAACTTGGTAAGGATTCTTGAAAGAACTCTGGGTTTCTCTAGAACCCATATCAATGGGGTTCTTTCAAGAATCATTAGTCAAACCAAGGGATTTGGGGTTTTGAAGCTGGAGATGGAAATCTGGAACAAAACTTAGTAATGATTCTTGAAACAACTCTGGAACCCATATCCATGGGGTTCTTTCAAGAATCATTAGTCAAGCCTATATAGCCTATCAAGATTCGATGAAAATTTGGAATTGGAAAAACATAATTTCAATTTTAATAAGGATTTTAGGTCTGTGAAGCCGAAAAACAGGTAAGGAAATGAAAATTCGGAGATTGAGAACGGAAATAGCTATAAAAAATGAGAGTTTACCTCGAAGTGTGTTACTACGAAGAAGACCCGGAAATGGAGGAGCGGAGAAAGAGCGGGAAAGAATAGGGAATTGTGTTTATGGTTTTTAGATAATATTAATAAGCCGAATGTATATATATAAGCCGAGACTGTTTAGGGGGACCTTTGTTCTGATAAATAAAATGACAAACAACAACAGGGCAAACAAACTGACTTAGCTCACTTGGTATGACGCTTGGGTTTAATTCCTCTCTTGTTCTAGTTCGATTCCCGCATACGGTTTTCATTTTTATTTTTTATACTTTGCATCTCCCCTGCTCATTTCAACACAAATAAATATGGTTTGTTTAATTAACATAGAACAATTTCATTTTGGGATTGCATAAAGTAATTAATGGATGAAAGGGGGTACCATTTAATAACTGCTACATTCCTACACCAAAATTTTCAGGGATGCCAAAAAGGTATACTTGCAACTTTCTTGCTTTCTGCTATTTCAGCAAAATTCGATTCCTGCACTACAGCTAGCCAGAGAAAAATGAAATAATGTTGTTGACAACATTTTCAAAAGCTTTGCTATCTAAGTAAATAAATTGTTCATCTTCTAAAAGGTTAAAGAAGTCATGCCATCTAAGTATTGTTGTACTACTACTACTGACCTTTCAAGGCCATAAATTTGCTTACCATTTTTTTCCTTGTCAAGACGAGCTGCTAAAATATTCTGCTCTTTTGGCTCTCCAGGAATTTCGATGTTGATGTCGATGTCGATGTCATCTTTAAGCAAAGAATTTCATACAAAATGGCTCATCTCATCAGATTGAAATAATAAATAAGTAGCTTTCTTGAAAAGACATGATGCACCTGCAGCTTCAAGGATATGTTTATCGATATACCTGCAGCTTATCTTGTGGAGTGAAAGAGAGAAGAGAAATATTTCCCGATCACCATTCACCCGTGCAAGGATGAAGTACAGCAAAGGATGAGGATTTCTCTAGATCATCCCTTAAGCAACTGATACGAAAAGCTCGAATTACACAATCTTACCATAACAACTCCTCTCCTTGGTACGAAGAGCATATGGAACTGTCAGAAAATGAATTCTGGTTTTGAAGTGGAGCATGTGAAGCCCCTTATTGATGTCTCATTTATTAAGGATAACTCCAGCAAGCACCTAGCATTTCATGGTCATGTACAATTTTTTGGGCTTATTTGCTACATAATATCACTCAAAAGTCAGAAACTTAAATACGTGACACATATAACCATCTAGAACATCTGGAAGTTTTGGTTTGAGATCACATTCAATGCATTCCTATTTTTTCTGGTTGCCCCAAATGATGAAAATTTGGAGCTACAAGATGATTGAAAAGTAGACCATCAGAAGTCATTGCCGTATCACAACTTCTCCAGTTGTAAAAAGGAGGATAAGGCCAACATCAGAGGAGGTGTAGAATGTCGAAGATGATTGGAATTTCTTCTTGTAGATTACCTTGTTAACTCAGTGAGATAAACGAAGGAAAGACAAAACTATAGAACCAGATGAAAATATATTTGAATTCATAGTTGGTACACAAAATGAAGTACTATTTACCTGCACTGCATGAATATACAACATATATTAATATGCATGCAGCTCTTCAAGAAGATAGCATAGCTGCTTGGCATGCCGTCCTCAACCTCAACAGTGCTCCCTTTTCAAGACCACAAATCACATAATCTCATCCTGAAAATGGAGTAGTCTAATCTAATACATGGGAATCTGAAGAGACTAGAACTTAATTACCCAAGTGATGTGCATGAAAAGTGCTCCTGTGGGTTTTTTAGGATGAACCTGAACCAAACTAGTCCTCAATTATTGGTTTCCATTATCACTATCAAATCTAGAGCTCAAACAGACAAATCCTCTGTTGCATTGCAACTGCTAAGACATTATTCTTGTCAAAACCATGAAAACTGCAGGTTTGAAATTTCCATTCCATTTTAACAATCGCCAAATTTTAACTTTATTTTCCTAGTATAGTTTGTAGATAACCCTTTAATTAAATGGTTCGTGTTCGTGTTTGGATTTTCAATCTTGAAAAAGTTCTAGTTAAGGATCAGCAGCACCAATCAAATCAAAACTACCCTTTGCCTTGTTTGGCATTGGCACTATCAACTTTTGAGTTGAGCCTCAAAACACCATCAGAAAGAATTGCACCTATTCATTCACTCTAGGATAAGAATAGTGTACAAACAAACAAACACAAATTGAGAAAATAAAAAAAAATTACAGACTGAAATTTGGAATTACACCGCCCAAAAAACATTCAATTGACAAGTAAAGTAAAAGCAAAGGTCCATCATGAAGTTGCTTATAGATTTTGGGGCTTCATTAGCCCAGTGTGCTTTAATACCAGCCTCATGACTGTAGGATGGGCCAATGTCACCTGACCTAATTCTTCTTCCCTTGTGGGGCCCAAGCCCACTACAATTCTCCACTGTCAGCCCGACCGACTAACCCAAAAAGTTTTTGTTGGCACTCAAAAGACGCCATTAAATATAAAAGCAAACTAAATCAGTGAAAGCAAGCAAGCCGTCACAGTTCTGCTGGTAGAGAGCGTGGCTTTTAACCATATGGTCGTTGGTTGGATTCCTACATAGGGCGATTTACCTTCACCTTATTATTTTGGGATTTTCTACTCTACATCGATTGTACCAGGGTCGGCCCTTTCTACTGGGTCACAATTTTTTTTTATATTTTAATTTATGTGCTAGATTCACTTTCATTTTGAAGCAAAGCACGAAGAATTAACATGTTTTTTTTTTTTTTTGTCAAAAAATAATTAACATGTTCAAAGTTAATTAAAAATATATCACTTAAGATAAATTAATGATATCAATTCAAATTTCAATGTAAAAAATTTAAAATTTAAGGCTATTACATTCAATTCTAATGAAAAATTCAAAATCTTAAGAAGTGGAATTTCACATGTCCCAATGTTATCCAAATTTTTTGTTTTGAAAATATTAAATAAATATATAAATATATATTAAATAGAAAAAAATTAGGCCCCCCTAAGACAATGTGCCTGAGGCGGTCTCACCTCCGCCCTTGTCTAAGGCCGGAACTGAATTGTATACAACTCTACTTTTTTTTATGGCCTATTATCACAAAACGTCCCTAGTGTTTACAAAACTATCAGATTGCATACTTAATATTTTTTTGTGACATTTGTGTCCTCAAGGTTAGTATGTGTAATCACAAATAGTCCCTGCCATTAGGTTCTGTCAAAAACTCCATTAGTTCGCTGACGTGGCATTTATATCACAAAACCTCCTTGAGGTTCACGCACCTATCACAAATGGTCATTGCGAAATTTTTTAATTTTTTAATTTAAAATTCATAAAATTTTGCTTAATTATTTTTAAATTATTTACAAATATATATTATATTTTAAATACATGTGACACTATATTATTGTAGATATGGACTCCATCTATACGCAACATCAACAAACTAATGGAGTTTTTTTTTTAAATAATTTAAAATTCATAAAATTTAAAAATGAAAAAACTAAGGGTTTAGGGTTCATAAATGGTCCTTAAGATTAAAATCCTTATATAAATGGTTTTTTCATTTATAAGTAATTTTAAAAAGAAAACCAAAATTTTATAAATTTTAAATTAAAAAATTACGTAGGGACCATTTATGATAGGTGTGTAAACCTCAAAGATGTTTTGTGATATATATATGCCACGTCAGCAAACTAACAGAGTTTTTAACGGAACCTAACGACAAGGACCATTTGTGATCGCATATACTAACCTTGAGGACCACGAGTGACAAAAAAAAAATAAAATTAAGGATGCAATCTGATAGTTTCATAAACCTTGGGGACGTTTTGTGATATTAATCATTTTTTTTTTAGGACAAACTACAGTAAACCCCCCAACCTATAAGGTCATTTATGATTACATACCCGATTTTGGAGACATTTACTAGTACATAATCAACGTCGCGGAAACCCTACAATTTACCCCATCCGTTAGCTAAACTGTTAGTAAATCTATTAAATGCTTATGTGGCATTTGTGAGACCTATTTTTTAATTGACTAGGTTCCACGTGGACAAAAAACTAATAAAAATCATCTACTTTTAAAAATAAGTTTTAAAACATTAAAATCACTATTTAAAACACATAACACAAGTGTTTGAGTGGTTCAACCATAATGGAGCTACATCCACTATGGTTTATAGCTTTGTATTTGTATTTGAATATGGAGATTACATTGTACATGAGAGAGATATGCGGAGAGAGGCTTGAGAGCTCTAATATAAGAGAAATAAAAAGCTTGGGAGAGCTTTGGACATCTCTTGGAGAAGTGAAGAAGTTGCAGTCGATTCTCTCTTTACTTGGAGGTGGTGAGTTCCTTTTTATAGTCCAAGTTGGAGTAGACAAGGTTGATTGATGGCTGGGACATTTGCATGCCCCTCTCTCAATTTGGGGTCTTGGGCATTGAGAAGGCATAGAAGGGGGCATGGCTAGCTACTCCTTGTTTGGTGGAATATGACGTATGACAAGCAAAGGTTATCCTTTAATTGGTGGGATGTGCTTAAGGAGGAAGTTGAGGTCAACATGGTGTCAAAAGAAGCCCCCAAGTTCACAGTTGAGAATAGCTTCTTGGCTGGGGACTTTCAAGTATAACCAATGTTTGGCCGAGCCGAGCACATATATGAAGATATAATTTTCCTTCTCACTTTGACTATGCTGTTGATGAGGCCATAGCAAGTCTCTGGCTAATTTTAGGGTTTTGTAGCTGAAAGAATTTTGGAACCTACCTTGGGTAAGAAAATGACAAATGACTAGGAATGATGGAAAAATCTAATGATTCTTGAAAGAACTCTGGGTTTCTCAAGAACCCACATCAATAGGGTTCTTTCAAGAATCATTAGTCAAGCCTAGGGATTTGGGGTTTTGAAGTTGGAGATGGAAATCTGGAACAAAACCTGGTAAGGATTCTTGAAAGAACTCTTGGTTTCTCTAGAACCCATATCAATGGAGTTCTTTCAAGAATCATTAGTCAAACCTAGGGATTTTG